GTCATATGATCAGTAACACCAGAATCCACAATCCATGAAGTTTTGAAATCAGTACAAGAAGCATCAAAAGAATTAGTGCATGAGTTCTTACCAATCATAGCCAAAGTACCAGTATCAGAAGGCTTATTAAGAGATTCAAATACGGACCTAAGCCGTTCCAATTTCTCACGACGAATAGTAGTAAACTCACTAGGCATCTGTGAGGTCTCATTCACAAGAGAAATGTCTGAGGGGGCAAAGAAAGACTGACCACGTGAGGTTGACTTACCGAGCTTCTCCTGAACCTGTTGCTTTCCATGAAGACGGTAACAAACATCTTTTGTGTGGCCTGGTCTTTTACAATAGTTACACTAACGCCCCTCTTTAATAGGCTTAGGAGGAAAAGACCTTGGAGGTGGCTTAGCTGAGACCATAGCTGACCCGTTAGTGGGCTTAGAATCAGAAGGAGTTGGAGTAGTAACTTTAGATGAGAGCATAATAGATCCTTCGGACACTTTGATATCTATCATGACAGCCCTGCGACTTTCTTCACCCATGACAGTGTGAAAAACTTCAGAAAGAGAAGGTAATTTTTCCTTACCAAGAATTTGAACTCGAATAGGGTCATATTCTGAGTTGAGACCACAAAGAAAATCAAAGATCCTATTGCGTTTAATGGAGGTGGTCAGAGTGGCTGCATCCTTGTTACACTCCATCTTCAAACTCTGGTACTGATCAAGATCAGTCCATAACCCATTCATAATACCATAATACTCTCTTATAGAAAGAGAGCCTTGCTTGGTAGAAAAAATCCTATTCCTCGTATCATAGCAGGTGACAGCATTTTGCTTCATTGAATAAGTTTGTCTAAGAACATCCCAAATCTCAAAAGCGGTAGGTAAGAACATGCAATGTAGACTAACCTCAGGAGTCATAGAGTTCCATAGCCACATCATAATAAGAGAGTCTTCATCATCCCAGTCGGCAAATTTTGGATCTTTTTTGGCAGGAACAGGTCCTTCAAGATGAGTAATTTTAAAATACCCTTTAAGGATGTTACGAACAAGATGGGACCATTGCAAATAATTCTTCCCATTAAGACGGTAATTCTGATGAAGAGGAGGGAGGTCATTTGGAGAAAGAATAGCCATTGAGCGTGTACCAGATGATTGACTGGTTGGAGTATCTTCAACGTCTGACATAATAAGGGCAGGAAAAATTTTCCAGTCTCTAGTGGCGATGAATAGTAAAATAAACTAATTTTTTTATGAACAGTACACGTGAACAGTGTCGAGTGAACAGTACAGATGAACAGTGAACAGGAACAACACGTGAACAGTGTCGAGTGAACAGTACAGATGAACAGTGAACAGGAACAGTGTCGAGTGAACAATATTTTTTTTTTTTTGAGCTATTCCGGTCTGATGAAAAAGAAACCTCCGTAGAATAATATATATGAGAAAACAGGGGTCCTCACGGTCCAAAAGGTCCCCGAATTTTTTTTTCCAGCGGCGGCTTCGTGGCAAATAAGGTTTGGTTTTTAAAGGCGGTGATTTGCGGAAGCGGAGTCCTTAGAATCGAGAGCTCTGATACCAACTAGAAAAGAAGATTTGTATATTATTGAATCGTATAATATCTGTACAAGAGCTCTCTGTTTAAAGAGTACTGAAAGACCTAATGTGCTAAGCCCAAAATACACTTCTAGAGTATTCTAGCTAATACAAATAAATAGATAAAATTCTACTATTTACAACAGTAACCTTGATCTTTCTACTTAAACACAAATTCAAAACTAGTCTTGTTTAGCAAAATTTCCATTTTATGGTTCAAAATTAATTATGGGGTATGCATAAAGAGGCTTAGGACAGGCAGTGCTAGGAATTACCCTATCCGAAATCATATGGCATTCTTCCAAAGAGAGGGAACCATACATGAGTCGTCTTATGTTAATACATACCCCTCATAAAAAGGGATACCTAAGAGAAAAACAATGGGCATCTTGTTAAAAAAAAAACCCCTAGCCTTGCTGTTTCATAAACATGTCCCTAATTTTTTTGGGGGGCAAGCTATTCTCATAGCAACACATCTCATCAATTGCTTGCCTACAAAAGCTTGGGGTTCGAGAGTCCAATGGACATGGTTACATCCTTTTATCATGACATAGACACAGCCAACAACCTTGTTCTTTGTATTTTTGGGTGTGTATCCTTTGTCCATGTTCACAGTCATAATAGAGGCTTGCCTGACCCGATGGTTCTTAATGTGTTTTTGTAGGCTATTCCTCCATTCTAAAAGGGTACAAGTGTTATGATCCTTCGTCTAAAAAGTTCTATGTCTCCATGGATATCCTATTTAGGTAAGACGAGCCTTATTTTGTCACTCCTCTTCAGGGGGCACATTTATTTATAGAAGATTAACAAGACTTTTTCCTTGATTTATCCTTTTTTTCCTATGTCTAATAGTTCTTTTCTCGGAAGTTCTTGCGAAACAAGCAATTATGGTCCAATCAAATGGTTCTACACTGTGAAATGTAGAGTAGATTGGTCAATTGAAAGATGTAAGACAAGATTGGTAGTCGGAGGATATATCCAAGCTTATGGGATTGACTACCAAGAGACATTTTCACCAATTGCAAAGAGGAATACAATTAGAATTTTGTTACTATCAGCAGCTAACTATGATTGAGACTTTCAACAATTTGATGTTAAGAATGCCTTCTTACATTAAGATTTTGATGAAGGAATTTATATGGAGATTCCAATTGGTTATGGAAAGGACTTGCATGCTAACATGATGTGTAAATTAAAGAAGCCTTGTATGACCTCAAATAGTCATCACACTATTTGTTAAACATTATTCTTCAAGGGGAGTTACAACACTTTTGGTGTATGATGATGACATGATTGTGACCAAAAATGATTTCAAGGAAAAACAAGTTTTGAGCTAATGTTTAGCTAAGGAATTTGAAATCAAAGCTCTAGGGAGGTCAACCCTAACTAGTTTGTGATAAAAGTGATGTTGATGTCGATGATGTTGAAGTTCGTTATTCAAGATATGGAATTTTCATCTCCTAATAGAAATATGTCACATATCTTCGTAAATAAACTTGTAAAACAGCATTAGCACCCCTATAGATCCAAATTCGAGGCTAAGATCAGCAGAAGAAGATGCTACAGTAGACAGGGATATGTATCAATGAATGGTGGGAAGACTTATTTGTCTACCCTACATAAAATGGGACATAGCTCATGCAATAAGCATGATCACTGAATTAATGCATGACCCTAAGGAAGTCCACTTGCAAGCACCCATCAGATACTACAATATCTCAAGGGGACATCGAGAAAAGGAATTTTTTTTAGAAGAAATGTAGGAGTAGTGCATGAGGCATATACTAGTGTAGGGTATGTTGGGTCACCAAGTGAGGGTAGATGAACTACCACACTTGTGAGAAATCTGGTTACTTGGAGAAGCAAAAAACAATGTGGGGACATGATCTAGTATAGAGGTAGAATTTAGAGCAATGACTCAAGATCTGTGTGAATTAATTTGGCTAAAGATTATCCTTGAAGACCTGAAGATTAACTTGAGGGACCAAGGAAACTCTACTGCAATAATAAGCCTGCAATAAGCCTAGTCCTTAATCCAGTACAACATGACTGCAATAAGCACATTGAGGCTGTTCGACATTTTATCTAGGAAAAGCTAGGGAGTGGATTAATTTGCACACCCTATGTTACTATACAAAGACAATTGGCTGATTTATTCACTAAGGGATTAAGCAATTAAGCATTTCAGAACATCATATCCAAGTTGGGAAAGTAGAATGCCCATTCACCATCTTGAGGGGGAGTGTCAGAAAGTTGTGATCCTATCATCTATATTAGGTGGTTGAGCTACCCTGCCATGTGTAATTAGTCAAAAGGTGCCAACAGCTCTTGACTTTTGTACCAACATTAGTCTACATATTGTAAACATTTGCATGAATATACAAATTCAGAGTTTAGCAATGTTCTGACAGATATAGAGAGAGGAAGAGATTAAAAGAGAATTGTTATTATTGAGACAAACAACAAGTAGAGAGATCTCCTTTCAAAGGTTTCCCCTTTTTACACTTCCTTAGCTGAATTCCCAAATCATAATCCTCGAATGACTGACTCTAACTGTAACTAACTAAGCAAACATCTAACCATCTAACTAATTCTGAGTTTGCTCTCACCTGTTTCTTTCTCCTAGTGTACTCCTTCAAGATTTTTATTTTTTATTTTTTATTTTTATTTATTTACTTATTTTTATTTTTTGCATTTTTACAAATTCGTAGTATGTTGATCTCAGGGTTTTGAAGATTTGCCTATTGTCATTGCTCATTAAATATTAGTTTTGTGCCACACTTCAATTAGGTTTCTGTGATTTAAATGTGAGTGCTTTTTGCACTTGACATTTATATGATAATTGTAAACCAGATTTTTTCCACCTATAGATACTTGTATTGCTAGGGGATATCCTCTGGTGCTCAAGGGTTGGTTAAGTAGCCTTCTTATAGGGGGAAAAATCCATGGAGGTACTCCTCTGAGTGGGCCTCTGCCTGACCCCTGGGGATCCTGCGCTTTCCATTGGTCCCTTGACTGGTAGTCTAGGATTAACATATCTTTACTATTATTTTTTCAACCAAAAAGACACTAGTATTGCTATATACAAGGTCAATAAGATTAGTGAAATTTCCTCCACTTTTGGTGTTTACTGACGTGCAATTCAGATAGAGTAGTGAAGTGAAGTAGTGAAATTTTTTCTTGTTTATGATGACAAACTTAAGCTTACAGAGGGCGAACCGGAGCAGTGGTATGATGATAAACTTCTTTGTTACTAGTTTGTGAACATTTGTTCCTTAGTCAAATGTGGTATATATCCGGGTGCATTAATTTTAAGAATTTTTGTGTTGCTTTGGAACTTGGTTATCTACTTCATTCTGTAAGTTGTCATAATTGAAGTAAAATATAAATGGATGGATGCTTGTTATGCAGCCATGGAGTCTATGTTGTCAAGCAGAATTACGAGCTCAAGATCAATGTCCCTTGTGTCCACCATGGCTACTTATATTCGCTCTGTTAAAACATTTTCCTTTTCTGAGCTTGAGAAGGCAACTGATAAGTTCAATTCAAAGAGAATATTAGGAGAAGGAGGATTTGGACGTGTTTATTGCGGGACATTGGATGATGGAACTGAAGTTGCAGTTAAGCTGCTAACAAGGGATAATCAGAATGGAGACAGTGAATTTATTGCAGAAGTTGAGATACTAAGCCGTATGCATCATCGTAATCTTGTGAAACTCGTCGGTATATGCATAGAACGTCGCAGGCGATGCTTGGTGTATGAGCTTGTTCGCAATGGCAGTGTCGAGTCCCATTTGCATGGTAATTGGTAACATAATTTCTTTTGCTCTGGGTATGGGCCCCATGTTTAATTTATATTGCATTGCCACATGTTAAATTTAATTCTTGTTAATGATCCTGCAGGAGTTGACAAGACAAGCAGCCCTCTAGATTGGGAAACACGGACAAAAATTGCCCTTGGAGCTGCGAGAGGATTGGCCTATCTTCATGAGGATTCTATTCCTCGTGTAATTCACCGAGACTTTAAAGCTAGCAACGTGTTGCTGGAAGATGACTTTACACCCAAGGTTTCTGATTTTGGATTAGCAAGAGAAGCAACTGAAGGAAGTCATCATATTTCTACAAGGGTCATGGGTACTTTTGGGTAAGTACAAGATTTTGTCCGAAGCATTTTGATCGAATATTTTTTTTCAAGTGGTCTACTAAGCCTGGGTGTGAACCAGACAAGCATAACAGATGTGGGTTGTATCTGGTAGACACATTGGCTGCATAGCTTTTCCGTTTATTAATCATTACAGTGTCATCATCATAAAGTTCTTCAGTTTCTTCTTTTGTTTTTTCTCCCTCAGATGATGTTCAGCTCTACTTTCTTGATTTAACTTAAATACTTTACATCGATTAGCTCATGCAAACACAGAGCATTTTAGCCCAGTTTTACATAGATCAGATTATCTTTTCTTATCTACTGAATGATTTACCAAAATTAAGTCCATAACTCCTATCTACCGCATTAAGTGTAACTCCAGTATCTTATAAATTGTGTATGATTGTATCAGTTTATAATACCATTGTAAATTTCTAGCCAATTTTATGCCATTTCTATCTGTTCAATTTTGCAGGTATGTTGCCCCGGAATATGCAATGACGGGTCATTTACTTGTTAAAAGTGATGTTTATAGTTATGGCGTTGTGTTGCTTGAACTTCTAACAGGCAGAAAACCAGTGGACATGTCTCGACCTCCTGGACAGGAGAATCTTGTAATATGGGCACGACCTCTGTTGACAAGTAGAGAAGGTTTGAAACAGCTGGTGGATCCATCATTGGCTGGAAGTTATGACTTTGATGACATGGCAAAGGTGGCTGGTATTGCTTCAATGTGTGTACACCCGGAGGTCACTCAGAGACCTTTCATGGGTGAAGTTGTGCAGGCTCTTAAGTTGATATACGATGACGGTGATGAGACCTTTGTGGATTGTTGTAGTCGGAAGGACTCTTCTGATTTTAGAGGTGACCTTGCCTTTTCTGATAGCAGTTGGGACAATGCTGACGGGGTAAACCCACGATTAGCTTATGGGCAAGCATCTTCCTTGGTCACGATGGAATACAGTTCTGGTCCACTTGAAATGGAAAACAGACCGTTTTCAGCTTCAAGCTTGATTGGAGATGACATATCTTTACCAATTAGGCATGGGAATAGATCAGGTCCCTTGAGAACAGCCCGAAGCAAGCTATCCTTTTATCGGCTTACTCGAAGTTGGAGTGAGCATGCAGTACTTCCATCCAAACGTGTTTGGAATGATGGTTAATAGGTTTGATGTTTCTTCTAATGTTTCTGAAATGTACAGTTTCAAAAGGGTCCGAATTGTTGATTGAGTGACTGATTTATAGTTTAGGTGTCTCAAATTCCTACAGTTTTCTAGTTAAGATTAAGACTGGAGAGAAAGGACATTGACTTTTAATTTCGCAATGTTGACTAATTATACAGGGAGGAAATCAACTTGAACAGTCCTTCGTAGTGTAAATGCCCTAAATTGTAGTTCCAGTTCCAGTTCTTCATTCTGACGTTTTATTCTTCTGTTCTTATATTTTTATCAATTTTTTATATTTTCTAATATTTTTTATTTTAAATTTCTCTATAACTTTTTTTTTTAATTTTTTTTTAAACAAATAGCAATTTAAATGCATTATTTTTTAAACATATATACTTAGATTAATTTATTTCATACTATTTTTTTTTTAAACAAAGGCTTTTGTTTAAATATTTTGATTATAGGCTTATTGACAAATACCTACTTAAATATGCTTGGTTATTTGAAATCACAGTTTGATCATTTTTTATTTGTACTCAAAACATGAACTTAGTTTATGTTGACGATATCATGTTAATTCGTGATGATCACTGGGAGAGTTAGTGTGTCAAAAATTATTTTGATCAGCAGTTTAACATCAAGGACTTGGGTCTTTTGATATTTTTTTTCTTGGCCTTGAACTTGCCCGGTTCAGGACATTCTCAAAATATACCTTGAAAATATTCGACTTCCCATGATCTATCCATTAAACTTTAGAAGGATTAGGGAGAAACCATTCAACGATCCCCCAATCTATCGTCCCTTGGTATGTAGACTCCTATATCTCATGGCTACAAGGCCGGGCATCTCTTTTTTTTTTCTCAGCAACTATGCGAGCATGTTGCCAAGCCAATGCAACATGACTATCAAGCTGCAATATGAGTTCTTAGATATTTAAAGGTCTTTTCTTCCCATCAATTGGTGGCCCAACTCTTACAGGTTTTGCACACTCCAGCTGGGCTCTTGCCCACACATTCATCGGTCCATTTTTGGCATGTGTGTGTTCCTCGGTGGTTCTCTTATACCCTCAAAATTTAAGAAACAAAGCATTGTTTCCAGCTTCTTTCCAAAGCGGAATACATGTGGATTGCTTAGTATATCTATTACATGAAGTACACACCTCATAGCAAAACCATTCTTAATATAGTGTCATAACTAGGGGTGGAGGCCAAGCTGAGATGAACTTTAGTTTTAAAAGGCTAAGCTTGTGTTTAAATGTGTTAGCCTGATCAATTATTATCGGTATGTGGTCTGACTTATTTACAAAAAAATAAAAGTCTGGTTTAGTCTGTTTAAAAAAATAAAATAACAAAAATTTATTCAAACAGAATATACAATCAACAACACTAGTAATTATATAAATATTATAAATTCAATGTATACCAAACAACATAATATAGAACAAAATCATTCAAAAAGTCTGTTTAACCAATAAAATAGGATAAAATGGATTGAAAAAGAAAGGCTATTACAAGTAGTATAAAATATATATACAAAAATAATATACTAGGTCAACCTGAGAGGTTCTAAGGCTGAGCTTTTGAATTAAAGTGTGAGACCTTTTTATTAAAATAGCTTTTATACAAGTTCAAACCTGGTGCTAACAACCAATTTTAGACATATAAGCTCATGTCTGCATGAGCCAAGTTAAAGGCTCCTAACTCGTTTATCACCCCCGGTAAATAATGATAACCAAACAGTAACTTATCTTTCTCGTAATCCCACGTTTCATTGAGCATAGCAAACACAGTTTAATTGACAACCATATCATTTGAGTGAAAATCCAAGTGGGTCTCATTCATCTTCTTCTTACTAGCTCGTCAAACCAACTTGCATAATTGCTAACCAAAGCCTAGATTGCCAAGTCACGACGCACCAACGTTATTTAAATTGTTTATTTTTTATTTTATTTTAGTTTTAGTTTTTGTATTATTCTATTTTTATTTAAATTTTAGTCCTAATATATATATATATATATATATATATGGGTATATGAGGAAAACATCTATCCTTTTAAAGGATAGAAGCTTATATCATTTTAGATCCTAACCGTTGATTTCCGTCTATCAAGATTATAATTTATTGGGTCAAACTTAGTGGGCCAAGTTTATTATTAATTAATTAATAATTTTAATCCAATAAATTATAACCGTTGATGGACAGAAATCAACAGTTAGGATCTAAAATGATATAAGTCTACATCCTTTAAAATGACAGATGTTATTCCCTATATATATATATATATATATATATATATATATATATATATATATATATATATATATATATGTATTAGTCCTTATATTTTTCTTCATTAAAGTATTGATAATAATAAAAAAAGTACAAGACAGTCTTATGTGGACGTAGTGGAAGGCAACAAAGAATTTTCAAAAGTCAAGCTGATCTGTGACTATGATTGAAAAATGAATATATAGTGAAAACTGAAAACCCCTTCTCCTTTTCTCTTCTGTTCTGTTCTTGCTCTTTCATTTTTGAACTTTGATCTTCCTATATTATTGACTATAGCTTCTTCCACTTGCTTGGTATGTTAAATAAACACAATGATCATATTTTACTTTTGTATGAATATGATTGCTTACTTTTACTCACTTTTTTCACTGGCAGCAGAACCCAAACAATGTCTTCTGATTCAGCTCTACCTCTAATCGAGAACCCCATCATTGTGAGTGTGTTGTTTGTTTCTCACTCTCATTGCCACCGTCACTTTGAATTGAATTCGTGAGTGGTTTCATTGGCAGGTTGGATTTGGTGGGGCTTGCGTGGATTTTGTAGCAGCAGTGCCATCTTTTCCTAAGCCCGACACCAAGATCAGAACCACTCAACTCAAGGTTTTTCCTTCTTCTTCACCCAATCCTTTCTTTCTTTCTTTTTTCAATTACCTTAATTCACGAAATATCTATGACGTAGTCGTAGGTTCTGGTTCAGGGACTGTTGGTGTTGACTCTCTTTCTAACAAAACCCACTTTAATTTAACCACTCGCTTTCACTTTGGTGGGTCAGGTTTTTTTCCCCCCTCTTTTACCACAGCATTGAGTAAATTATTTGTCCTTTATTATTTTAAATAATATAATCTTGTGTACAATTATAGTCATAGTGGGGGCTAATTTAATGATAGTTTGCTGTTTACTTTATATTATAATATAATAAGAATTTAATATTTTTGCTATATCTGCAAAAAAAAAAAAAAAGGGCAAGAACAAAATTTTTTACCACTTTTACAATCAATTTAACCACCGTTAATATCTAATCTAACTGTTATAATTTATTAGAAATTAATAATTAATTAATAAATACGATCCAATAATTTCTAACAAATTATAGTCGTTAGATTGCCGAAAATCAATGGTGATTAAGTTGATTGTAAAAGTGATAAACTTTTTTTGTGGTAAGTATATTCTTTTCAAAAAAAAAAAATATCATATTCACATAAAAAAAAAAAGTAAATCTCGTTATATCCATCTAATTTTAAGTGAGTGTGTAAAAAAAAAATTGTTTTCGGGCAGAAATACTTTTCCTGTATAACCATCCCCTAATAATATAATTATATTAAAAATCACCAGCTTTTGTAACTTGGGAGAGAATGTTCTTCCTTTGATCCAACTTTTTTTTTTTTTTCTTTTCCATTTTAACATAGGCAAGTTTCCAGTGTATAAAACGATTATTTCTTCCAAATAATCGTTTCTTTGTAATCGAGGGTTGTTTTGTAATGTTTGGTTTGCTAGGTCCAAGGTGGTGGAAATACTGGAAATGCTATGACTTGTGCTGCTCGTTTGGGCTTAAAGCCAAGGATAATTTCTAAGGTTTGTTGTTTGTTTAGCATCATTTGTATGATATTATAGTCAACCTCATGGTTGTGGCTAATTTCTAATGAATATGCAATTTGAAATCACTAGGTTGCAAAAGACGCTCAGGGTAGGGCTTTGCTTGAAGAGCTAGAAGCTGATGGGGTTGATACCTCTTTTTTTGTGGTATGTATATTTTATGTGTCAATTTTTTTTTTTTTTGAAGTGTTAGGAGCTTGAGTTAAAACTAGAAGGATAGACTTCCTCCTACATATGCAAATTCCGAATTGAGGATTGGTTTTAAGGTTCCCTAACTTGCAAAATAAGGGGCGCGGATTGATTTTATGGGGTCTTACCCTTCTTTTCTTTTTTTTTACAAAAGAGATTGTTTTCTAGATTCGAACTCGTGATATAAAGAGTAACATTACCGTTATTCCAAGACTTGCCCTCTTCCTCCAACATCTGCAAAAAGAAAAGAAAAAGTAACAAAAAGAATATTAAGGTGAAGCAAATATATATGGTTGGTTGAATCATACTGAAATATTTCTTTGTTTGGATGCTTAACTTGCTACTTGGTGTGTAACAATAGTTTGATAAGAGTGAATGAATTCATGAAAATAAAATAAAATAAAATTTAATAGCTACTTTATATTTTTGTCATTTGCTTTTGGTTGTGGCAAGCAAAGTGACTGGCGCTTAGTCTAGTCTCAATTTTTTTGATAATCTTTCATTGATTATTTTTCCGTTGTTTCCAGGTATCGAAGGAGGGGACTTCACCATTTAGCTATGTCATTGTTGACAGCCAGACGTATGTGCCAAAGCTGAAATGATTTCTATACAAAATTTATGTTGATATTAGCTTGGTTCTACCCAAATTCTCACTTAATGGGCTTTGAAAAATATATTTACATAATTTCTTTAGATGTGGAAATAAAACTATATAAAAGCTGCAAGGTTAGCAGTAGCTCCACATTGTAGTTTGTTGATAAGCAGTGAAATATATACTTACAAAGGATATTTGCTCAAACATGATGGAAATGATGTAGATTGAATGTTATTTATGGGATATATCCTCATATTAAGTTTTCTTGCCTGATAGATTGACATGCCTAACTTAAATGATATAAAAGATTACCTGAATCGTTCAGGAATGCAAACTGACTAATCCTAGAACTTTAAAAACTCAGGAAAACGCGCACTTGTATATTCACTGAGGGATATCCTCCAATGGTACCCGAAGATCTTCCACGAGCCAATTTGTTATCTGCATTGGAAGGAGCAAGAGTGGTCTATTTTGATGTAAGGCTCCCTGAAAGTGCTCTTGTCATTGCTCAAGAGGTAAATTACATATTAGTTGTTACATAGGTTGAGTCATGCAAAGCTTCCATGTGGAATTATTCTCATTAGATTTGTGTTAAGTTAAATTTCTGTGACTGTTATTACTAATTTTTATGAAGAGGTTGCTAACTCAAATGCCAGTGGGTTAGGGTAACAGAGCATAAGTGTCTTGATTAGGATTGAAAAGTCTTAAGTCTCATTTCTGTACAACGTATTGTAATTGTAAGAAAGAATACCTATATATGAATCATTACTAGATTCATAAATGTTTCACTTAACTTTAATGTAATTGCATTTGATATTTTAAGAAGAGAGAGCCATCTGATGAAATGTAAGCTGAGTTAATTATATTTTATTCTTGCAGGCGTTTCGCCAGAATATATCTATCTTAGTTGATGCTGAAAGGCCAAGGGAAGGATTGAATGACCTCCTACCATTGGCTGATTATGTTATATGCTCAGAAAAATTTCCACAGGCAAGTAACTCATGTTATCATGAAGTAGAATACTAGAATATCATAAAACACTTAGGGCCTGTGAGTCCTCTGTTAGCTTGCAGGTATGTTGTATTATTCTTAAATTCTAACAATTCATCTGCTGATCACAAAATGTATTTCACAAACTCAAAATTTTAGCTTTGTTTGTAGCCTGAAGAATGACCTAGTAAAGCTATTTACTGCTTGTACTAAGTATTTTGTTTTGGTTTCATCATTACACAATCAGATTCTATTTTCGAATATATCCAGAGGAATAAATTCCGTATCCAGAACTTTGTAATAAAATAATGAATTTTTTTTTTTCTTTCAAATGTGTGAAATGGCTTCCTTTTTAAGTGGAGTTTATTTTTATTTTTTTAGGGTGTTATACTTCCACTTCCTCTGTAGGTTGGTTCACGCATGGATTTTATAATTGCCTCACATCATTCTCATGTGCACAACATTTACGTTATGTGCATTTAGCTTGGGGTGCAAAGGAGGGACTTAAAAGTCCTGAGTGACATTGTGCCTGAAGTGGTAACATGTGGTCGTATAAACCATTTTATATAATTTTGTACCCAGATTTCGTGGTTCCCATACCCTTAAGAAAGATAGATTGGGCACATAACTGGAGTATGATTAACCTGCTTTATGACTTTATTAACCACTTGTCGTTAACCATTTCCTTCCATGTCTACCATCTGGTAGGACTTTTCAGGAACTTTTTTTTTTCTGTTTTTAAATTGAATGTTTGTACATTATTTTTTACCTTGTATGGTTCTCTCTTCCTCTTTGGTTGAACTGTTTCTTTGTGATAATTCATCAACATGAGTGATTTGCTATTTAAGTTTTGTGACTTAAGTAATTTGACATATTTGACAGGCCTGGACTGAGACATCATCAATTCCAAGAGCATTAGTTTCAATTATTTTAAGGCTACCAAGACTTAAATTTGTGATTGCAACTTTGGGAGAAGATGGCTGCATAATGCTTGAGAAATGTGTGGATGGTAAACATACTTCTTTTCCCCCCCTTGTTTGGTCCTTTATGTAGGAATGGGCTGATTTTTTTTCTTTTTTGCATTGAATTTTTCCTTATATAAAGTAAGTTGCAATTTACTTTCTAGCAGAGGGTTCTCACTTGGAAGAAATGGATGTTGACACCTCTTTGAAATCATTAACAAGGAGAAAGAACGATAGCATAGCCATGCCAACCTGTATAGCCTCGGTAATAATTGCTTAAAACTTATAGCTATTTCATCCATATTATAATAACACTAAAATGAGTTCTCAGCACTGTTTTACATCTTGATATCATGGACTACCTAAATGTATGCAATGGGGAACATTTTTCTTCTAAAGGCAATTTGATTCAAATGTAATGTACTGGAAAATTTCTTGCATCTCCACATCTTAGAAGCGGGTATTGCATTAATTGAGCATATGTACTTATATGTGTTGCCATAAGCTCACTTTTCATAATTCTAATTTGGGTAAGTGCAAGTTAAATAATAACTGGTTAGATTATTTCTGGATAAATTCTACTTAATTGATCTTTTTGCTTAATCCTCCCAGAGTGTGACAAAATTCAGAGCAGAAGGGATAGGATCTGTGTGTGGAAGGTTATATTTTTGTACAGCTGAAAAGATTCCACCATCAGAACTTATTGATACAACTGGTGCTGGGGATGCATTTGTTGGAGCTGTTTTATATGGTATGTGATACAACTCATATAAGGTAGATTTATCTATTCCACATAGATGGAATTAAATTGTTCACTACAATTCCATTGTGTCCATCACTTATAGTCTTAGAAACTACTTTTGTTTTTCTAAATTTTTATCAATTCACCACTGAACTATCTTGTTTTGTTATAATCAACATCAACATCAATATCAAAAACACTTTTATCCACAAAATAACATCAATATTAACAATACTTTTATCTCAAACTAGTCAGGTGGGTGTTTCTTCATCTTATTATAATACAGTTATAAAATTTACAGAGCCTTTATTTTATTTGCAGCAATCTGTGCCAACTTATCACCAGAGAAAATGTTGCCGTTTGCTTCTTATGTGGTAAGCAGCCATAATATGCAACTCTATCAAAATAGTAACAAGGTGGCATAATTTGGATTTATAATCAATTTTAGACATAGAAAAGGTTGTTACACAAATGCACAGCATTCATAGACTCCATCCATGTTGTGGTTGCATGGGAACATTCATTTTTGAGTTTAAAGTTTTTAATGTTATTTGAAATAAAATTATTTCTTACGTACACATAAAAATATATGGCCTCATTTTTATTTTTTATTTTTTCTCTTCACATGATCCCACATATTTTTATATATAGATAGAAGATAAAATTTATTGACAATAAAATGAGAAACTTTAAGTGCATGTTTGGATTGGTTTTTTTTAGTCAAAAGCTACTTTTTTTCAGGGAAAAAAAATCACTTTTACTACAAAGTTTGTTTGTATGTCTTCTTTTAAAAGAAGCAGAAGTCACAAAAAAGTCAAAAATCTGCTTTTTTTTAATTAAGCTAAAAATTTTAGCTTCTAAAAAAAGCAGAAGTCAAATATTCTTGTGTGTAAAGTATCTTTTAGGTCCTCAACAAATATCGCAGGGCCCAATTTAATCTCTTAGGGAAAAAAAGTCGACTCGTGGTTCCTCTGAAATTCTAAATTGACCCATGTTAGTTTTTTTCAGGGACTAACGTGGGTCTTCTTTGAATTTCAGAGGGACTACGATTTCAACTAATTGGGTATATTTTGAATTTCAGAAGAATCACAAGTCGACTTTTTTTTCTCTAAGAAATTAAAATGGGCCCTGTGATTTTTGTTGAGGATCCAAAAGGTAGTTTACTCTATTTTTTTCAAAATTCAAATATTTTAAAAAAAATCTAAATAAGGAAAGCATAAAAAACACTTTTTTGATAAGCGCGTACAAACGGGTGCTTAAACCTTCAATATTACAACTTCTCATTTATCATAAAAGCACTTAGGCAAACAGGAGTACTTAATCTTATTCTTTTGAGTTTTGTCTTTATTACACTTTTGGTCCCTTTACCATGCTCAATGTGCCATTCTGGTTCCGATTTATTTTCAGCAATTAAATCTTTAAATTTTTCAAGGCAAGATAATTTATTAATTAAAACATTTAATAGACTTACAAGTGAAGTTAATTTATTTAAAGATGTCATATTATTATATTAAAATGCATCATTTTAAATTTAATCTATTTATGGTAGGTGCTACATGTAACATATTTGTTTGTTTTCTTTTGATGCTGATTGTAGGCAGCTGCTAGTTGTAGAGCGCTTGGAGCTCGGAGTGGTCTTCCTTACCGCACTCATCCATACCTCGCATCCTTTCTTAACTAGAGGCTCAAACCCCTCATCAAATTCAGCCCTAACATGTTTGCATTTTTGTGTTTTTAGTTGTAAGCTAAATTTTAACTTTTTAGCGTAATAAGATAATATGTTACAACATTAAATTTCGGTTAAAATGTTTATTTAGAAAGTGAATTCTTTCATGTGTTTAAATTTTGAGAATAAAACATTTTTTGTGTAAATTTTATATGGGAAAGAATCCTCTCGTTTGTGTGAGAATACACATGAAATTGCAACTCTTGTTTATTTTAAGGTTTTCATATGAATTTTTTTTCTTATTATAATGATGTAAGTTAAATTCAAATTATCACTTTCTTTATTGTAACTATATAACATACGCTATATGTCAAAAGCTGATTTGTAAAAACATATATAGGGATTAGTGTTTTTAATTTTATCTCTTATATACATATAATTTTTATATGTATGCACGAAATAAAATTATCTCCAAACATTAATCCTTAATCTCATATATAGAAATAATTTTCTTATCTTACGTAAGAAATTTTTTGCATACTACATTCATAATATATGAGTAGGTCTCATCTTGATTTTTTTGTCTTCTAATCTTTTTGTGGACCCCATTCATATATTGTGTGTGTAACATAAGAAAATTTTTTCATGCAAAATGAGAAAATTAATTCTCATATATATATATATATATATATATATATATATATATATATATGGGTTTACATTTCTACAGCTGCTGTACGTGCAGCAATCAAATACTTACCATATATATACATGAAATCATTAAATGCGGGAAATCATAACCATACACTTTCGTTGTTGTACGTAAAACGGCTGGAGAAATGATTTCACCATATACATATATATATATATATATATATATATATATATATATATATATATATATATGAAAAAGTATTTCTCTAGACACCGGAGATAAAGTTATCTCCAGTGAGCTCAAAACGACGACGTTTTGGATTATAATATTAAAAAATTATAATGACAACGACTAATATAACCCTGCAATATATTATAATTACAAAACACCTTGATTTCCGCTCCAAAACAACGTCTTTTTGAGCTCACTGGAGATAACTTTCTCTTCCATGACTGGAGAAATCCTTTACCCATATATATATATAGGTAGGGATGTGCAAAATATCCAATTGATCCAAACCAAACCAAAAACCAAACCAACCAAATTAGAAAATCGATTTTTTTTTTAAATCGGTTAAAAAATATATCCACTTTTAAATTTTAAATATGGTTTGGATACACTCGATAACCAAATCATATCCATTTTTTTTAATCATTGTTAGTTTTAACCTATTCTATTCTGATTTCTAACCCTACCTCCCAAATTCTCAAATTTCACCACTTCAACACTCCCATCTGGATCTGACCCAAGTTTTTCAAATTTTGTCATATTACCAATCAGATATGCTGTTAATTCCAGATTGAAGATCATGTAAAAGATGTCAAAGATCATCTCCCTTGAATTCACTGGATGCAAATCTCCATAACCAACCGTTGTCAAAGTAGTATTAGACCAGTAAATGAATGTCACATGTCTTTTCCACAAGCTCTGATGAAGTGTTACAAAAAAAAAAAAGACAACGACAACTGAGAATCTGTTATGATTGCGAATGTTGTTGTTGCAGGTCATGTATCTGCTCCGATTGTTGTAATTGTTCTTGTTGGTCACCTTGCCAAACCCAGACAATATCTTGAAGAGCCGGCTTTATATCCTCTTTTAATATTTTCTGATATTCCAATGTATCTCCATTTGATTTTTTCACCTCTACCAAATGGAGAAATGGATTAACCTCAAACTGCATCAATGGATAAAATCCCCTTCCTACCTTCCTCAAGGCCCTCTAGTTTCAACTTTCAACAAACCTAAAGCTTTTTTCTTTATTTTCAACTTCAATCTCTTCGCAATTTAAAGGGTTTTAATCTTGAACTTCAATCAATAATGGATAAAATCCCTTTTCTTTATTGGGAAAAGTGTTTGTCATTTTAAATGACAGAAAGTTATGTCATTTTAAGAGAGATACAGACACAGTAAATTTAAATTTTAAATTAAAAAAAATCACCCACTTTCTCTCTCCCATGGTTTCCGTTTTTCTGTGTCTATCTCTCTCCTAAAATGACATAACTTATGTCATTTAAAATGACAAACACTAAACCCTTCTTTATTTCTCACAATTTCTTGAACTCATTTAATTACATTATGATTTATTGATCTGCATCCTATTCATTCAAGATTTTTTTTTTATTATAAAACCGGTTTTAATCTTGATAACCGGTCTGTGGTTCATAACCGGTTTTGATTTAAAACCGGTTATGAACCACAAACCGGTTTTGAAACCGATTTGGACAAATTAAAAATCGATTTTTGTTGTGGACCACTTATGTGGTACCCACTTTCTATCCCCACTACATGGAGCATCTCATTCCATCACTCTCCCATAACTTCCATCCACTACCAATAACCACCCATTAAGCATTGCATCATGCCATTAAGTCACCTGCAAACTACCCACTAGGGGCAGAATCTCCTAGTGCATTCATCTATATATAACCCCTTATAGCTAACAAAGGATCTCATATCTCATAACTCATCTAGGAACTCATCTGATAACTTATCCTGGCCACCACGGCTACAACCTACATAGTGGTGCCCAGAGCACATCCTCTTCACCTCAGGTGACTCACACACACCTCTTGTTCATCCCATCAGACTTTGGCCTAAGGTGTAGGACTTCTCATTGCTTGTCATCTTTACCATAACCTCCGTAGATACAAATACTAGTTATCCTGCTAGACAATTAATGTTCACTCCAGAACAGTTTTAAAAAAAAAAGTGGTTCGATTTAAAATCCAAACCGTTTAAAACTGGTTTGGTTTGTTTTTTGACAATAACCAAACTGAACCGCTCCATGCACACCCTATATATATAGAGACATGATATTCTTACACCAATGTAAGAGTTAGAAGTCTTACACTCAATCTTGATCATTGATCCACTTGTATCCAATGACTCACATTACTAAAAAATTAGAGCCCTTAGATATATGTGAGATCAATGGTCAAGATTGAGAGTGTAACTTACACTAGTGTAAAATGATCATAACCCATATATATATGTGTGTGTGAGAGTGAGATAAGATCCTTTGACATCAGTGTCAAATTTAAAATTTGAAATTTGACACCTCATCTGAGAGCCATGAGATCAAAAAAGATCAACGACTTTTGATTTGTAAGCATGTGACCATTGATCTTTTTTGATCTAATGGCTCTCATATGAGGTGTCAAATTTCAAATTTGACACTGATATCAACGGATCCTACCTATATATATATATGTGTGTGTGTGGGGATAGTTTTTCTGCAGCGGTTGTAGAGAGCTGTTATGTGCAGCTGACACAGAAAAGTGGGTCCCACAACTTTTTAAAAAAAAAAAAAAAACAGGATCCGGAACCGGATCCTGGCTGTGCAGCGGCTGCAGAAATAATTTTGTCTATATATATATATATATATATATGGAAAAAATGAGCGTCATTTTAAAAGATATAAAGTTGTGTCATTTTAAGAGAGAGAAATAGATAGATAAAGGAGGAGAGAGAGTTGACAAATAAAATAAAGGTGTGTGTCCCACCTCTTTGTGAGAATAAAATGATATAAGTTATGTCATCTAAAAGGATAAACACTTTTCCACACACACACATATATATATATATAGGGGTTTGCATCTATCATGTCACATGACAAAAAAGTTTCCTACACACAACATTTTGTGGGGCCTGCACTTTTTGAAGCAAAAAAAAAAAAACTACGACACGCAAAACGAATCTCTATAATATTACACAATTATTTTTCCTACAACACAACTCTTATAAAACTCATATATATATATATATATATATATATATATATATATATATATATATATAGAGGAAGGTTATACTTACAACTTTTTTTTTTTACAATCTCTTATAACCATATCTTAACACCGTTGATTTTCACCAATCAATGGTTATCATTTATTGTGAATTAATAATTAATTAATTAATTTAATTTGCGAAAATCATAACTATTGATTGGTGGAAATCAACGGTGTTAAGATATGGTTGTAAGAAGTTGTAAAATAAATTGTAAGTATAACATACCTCATATATATATATATATATATATATATATATATATATATATATATATATGAGTTCGCTTTTTCTGCAGTTACTGCATATAAGTTATCTGCAGTAAGCCCAATACGACGTTATTTTGGGGCGGAAATCATGGTGTTTTTGTAATTTTAATTTATCTCAAGGTTATAATAGTCTTTATATTTATAAATTTTTAAGATTTCAATATCAAAACGATGTCGTTTTGAAAATAAATGCAGATAATTTATATGCAGTAACCGCAGAAATATTTTTTCATATATATATGGGGAGAGATCTTTTGACTCTAGAGTAAGACTTATAACTCTTATTATTCATCTCAACAGTTGATTTCCGTCTATCTAACGGTTATCTATAACAATTAATTAATTATTCATTTTAAATAAATAATAACCGTTAGATGGACGGAAATCAACGTTTGAGATGATGAGTAAGAGTTGTAAGTTTTACTCTAAAGTCAAAATATCCCTTCCCTAAATATATATATATATATATATATATATATATATATATATATATATATATATATATATATGGGGCAGGATCATCCGGTGTAAGAATAATAAGTCTTACACCAAATCTTAACCGTTGATTTTTTGCATCTAACGGTTAAGATTTAGTAGGTCTCACTCATTAATTAATTTTTAATTCCCAATAAATCTCAACCGTTAGATGCACGGAAATCAATGGTTAAGATTTGGTGTAAGATTTATTATTCTTACACCGGTGTAAGTTGATCCTACCCCTATATATATATATATATATATATATATATATATATATATATATATATAAAAGATTCAGAAGAAAATGTGAAATAGGTAAAATATTTTGTCAGGATGAGTTACATTTTTGTGGAGTTTTAAATAAATAAATATTTCTGCATGGGAATAATAATAATAATAAAAAAAAGTTTTGAAGTTGAAAGGGTAGGAGAGTGAGCAAAAGTTGATATAGTTCAGTGATGAGTTGTGGTCAGTAGCCATTCATTCCTCGAAGTGCAAAAACATGTCGACCGTCTGCACTATTT